CCTACACAGACGATCGGGAGAGATTCGGGTGATTGTCAATTGCTGCTATGATGGCGTTGGTTGTTCTTTTTCACTGTACGTCCGCAGACACATTCTGACAGCACTTCAGACAGCAGCTTTGTGCCCCACCAGCTGCTTATTCCATGCCTACCATGGTGTTTTCGTACAGANGATACCTTTTTCTCATTATATGTGTGCGTGTTCTTTAGATCCTCAGATGGCTCTAGCACTTTCGTGACCACGGGCTGAGAGTCTTTTGCTAGATTTTGGCATTTTAGCAACTGACATACGGTTTAATGTGAAGACAACAACAACAACAACAACAACAACAACAACAACAACAACAACAACAACAACAACAACAACAACAACAACAACACACCGCAATTTTGATTATTTCCGCATGGTCTTTTACCGCCGCCATGTGGAGCGTAATTGGGTCATGCATTTTTTTAAGTAGTATGGACAGCACCACAGCGCAGCAGACCTGGTTGGATGTATTAATGTAGAAGTAGTTTGTTGTCTTTCGAGTGACTCGAAATAGGTGTGACTCCTACTTGGGGTTCCTTTTGTTTCATTGGGCCCGTCCAACAACTCCGCGCATTCATTTTCCGTTCTTCGCGTGTAATCTGTCGAGGTCTGGTGCGTAACACTACTACACACGAGTACGTTTGGTTTGCTTCTCCGACCTTTGTCACAGCCCCAACCAGCTTCACAGATCCACTCACTCTTAGTGTCAGTCTTCATTAACGACAGTCATCGGCACACAGCATGTTCACAGCGGATGGAACTTGGGACGGACATGAAAACGGGTGCGGTCTACTGTTGTTCTGACGATTTTGTGTGGCCAATCAGCCGTCCCATGTGCTGACACACCGTTCAACATCAGAAACAGCTGTCACTAATTTCGTTTTTTTTATGTCTGGCGTGACTTTACTCTGTTACTTGAAATGGTGTTTCAGTCTTGTGTCAGACTGTTCAAACGGACAGGCCCGACAGCAAAGAAAATTCTTGAGAATCTTGGGAAGGATTTACAAATCAGCACTTCGACTTTTTATGCATGTTCAGCAGCACGACTGCTGTGTTGAAGAATCAACGACTAGGCTGGAAACTTATTTGGAGTAACCCAGGAACAATTTGAACGGTCGAGTCGAGGTTCGCGGGCGATGCGTGTCGGCCTCACGAATCTCCCCTCGATCCCACGGCAGGTGGGTCGAATGGGAGAGACCTAGTCATTGACGCCGCGAAGAAGAAAAGTGAGCCGGAGTTTCTGGGTGCGTGCGCGCGCTGAAGGCCAAAAATTACTATCTTGATCAAGAGGCCTCCAAGTTTCTCAGCTGTTGCACGTGAACGCTCCGAAAGAAGTCATCGTAACAATACTTATCTCTACGCACAATCCGGAGCAGGAAGGGCGAAACGCTTATTCCCTCTTCTCCTTAACCGGATCAAACATGAAAATCGAAGCAACATCGGGTGTCAAAGACTACGATAGTACTGCTGTAGCGGTGTAGGCATCAGGTCTCAAGTCTACTATGTTTGTTTCAGCCACCTGGCGGTTCGCCGCTTGCAATTTGCTCCTCTTCACCCGCGCTTCTTTTTGCCTGAAGTCTTGCAGCTGGCTTTTTGTCACACTGCTCTTGCAGGCAATTATAAGGGAGGACGGTGGACACCAGCATGGTTCGGACCTCGACGATGACCTGGGTAAGTCCTACAAAAAATTGCACGTGCAGACAAGACATTTGGTTCTCAAGGTTTTCCTTCATGGACTTGATGAACTGAATAATAGAGCAGTGGGGGCCCCGGTTCAGCAATTTCTCGTGTCACGATGAAAAGTCGCCGATATTCAAGACAGGTCGCCAAACCGAACTATCAACTGTATAGCGCGGGGTGCGACGGTGCCACATAATTTTGTGGTGGCGAAACAGGGTATGTCTCTAAAACAGGGGGTCGCAAAACCGAGACCCCCACCGTGGTGGGGGGGGCGTTCAGTGCGCAGTGTGGAGGTAGGACAACGGCCTCGCGTATGATATGGCGACAGCCCGCTTTCGAGCGAAGGACGCGTTTTTTGTAACAAATCGGCAGTAACGCTGAAATGTCAACACAGCATTCAGGAATTCGTGAAGCATGACCTTCAATCCGGGGCAAGTCGCCTATTCTGTGCTTGCTGCATCTTGCACACCTAAGTTGGACAGGAGAGGTCCGTAGGTCAGCATAATGCTTCATACTTGCTTGTTTTTTGTTCGCCGCTGGTTGCTCCTGGCAACACATGAATCCTCAGCGCTGCATGTATAGCTTGAGCGCGTGGTGCCAGTCACGACGAAACACAACACACCCTCGATACACGTACGACTTTTGTCACGGCACGTCGTTCCTATGAAGACGATGACGAAGACGATGGCCTGAACCACACGGCGCCGGCAACGGGGTCCCCGACCAATGGCGGCGAAGCCGCCGAAGCTCTCGCGGCAGATCACAACAGCCGGACGATGGGGAGGGGGTCCTCCAGCGGCCAGCTGCTGCCGCCGCCGCCGCCGGTGGTGGCCCCCCCTGCTTTCGACATGCAGCACAAACGTCTCCCAAATTCCGTTCCTAATCTCGCAATTTTAAAAATATCTTTTTCAGCTGTCGTGTCTCGTAACTCACTGTACAGTTCCACTTGTCAGCGGTGTGTTTCCCCCCAGGGTCGACCTGCGAAAACGCCAACGACGGTGTATTTTAGGGGTCAACGGCGAAGGTATGGTTGCTGATGTTACCCAAGCACATAGGACCAGCTACCTGCGTAAGGACCGATGAGAGATTGACAATCAAGCCATCCAAAGCTGTGACTTGGTTCCACACGCCTACTTATTACATAGCTAAAACTGACCAAAGGTTTGATTTGCTTCACCAGCCGCCAAGCGAAACAAGTCAGACAACATCAGACCGGGGGCCGCCAGCGGTGCAGCCGAGGCGCACTGGACGAACCCGCTTTTTCCCAGCGGTGCAGACGAGGTGCACTGGACAAACCCGCTTTTTCTACTCATTCAACTTCTCTTGGTCTCCTCCACTGTGCAATTCAGCTTGACAATACTGAAAAACTGGAACATACTACGGAAGGTGAGCCTGGGATTATGAAATGGCGATTTCGAAGCTCGACCAATGTGAGACCGAATTATCTACAAATCAACAACAATCTTTCTAATCCTAAATCACACTTCCACCAACCTGTGGTCCTATTTGCGTTGGGATGTTGTGGCCATGCCGATCTGCAGCGTCGAGGAAACCGATGATCTCGTACAGGGAGGCATCCTTGAGGATCAGCATATGCTTCGACATCTTGAAACAGAACGGTGGAGAGAAGGCATGTTTACGATCAAACAAACTCATCAGTGATATGTCGAAAAAGGGAAGTTCAAAGAATTGAAACAACTCTAGACCATTCACCACATTTTTCGCACAGCATGCAAACAACACCATGCTGCCGTCTCAAGGATGTGTCCAGACATGGAGTACCATTTGTTTTCAAGAAAACAAGCTTATCAGCCGCAAGATCACACGTGGCGTCGAAGACGACGTTCCATCGAACCTTGAGAAACGTCGCAACGCACAACTCTCTGAACTTTTTGTCAGGGATGATTCCAATTCGATCAAAATTATTATCTGAAGTCAGTTGTACTTAATATTCACCTGCTCAGCAAGAGCCAGAAAGCATCTCTTCGCGTAGAACCACGTGTCCGTACCAAGCTTTTTTTCGTACGGTTCCAAAGACTTGATGATGCGACTGATTCCAAACTCGAAGTTTCCCTGTGACGCAGAATTGGACGTTTGGTGCAGTCTCGTGAAGGCTCGAGCACATCGATATGTTGCCAGCGATGTCTGACTGTTGTCTGGCCGGGAATTTTTGTGTGTGTTTTCCGTATCCGTATGATTCTGTTAGTTATAAGAATGATTTGGAGTCCGTATTGTGTTCATTTTTTGTTTTCGATGTGTAAACCCTGTAAAGGGTAGTTTGCCTGTGACTACAGAAGGTGTTCGCATCAAAATTCACCAGTACGGATGGTGGCAAGAACTGAGCAGCGACCGGGATAGTTCTGAGTGTGAAGACAACGACAACATCACCTCTACAACCGTTGACGTGTGGATTATTAGCAGGCAGACCAACAAAAGCACGCCTCACCCAAACATACGCAAACATTTCGACGTCTAAAGGGTGGAATAGGTCGAGTTTTCACATATGACTTCAGACAATCCGCCATAAGATCCAAACAGACAGCATAGTTTTTTCACTTGGTTCTCAGCAAGACACCAAAAAAGACTGAACCTAACTGGACTCACCTTGGCACAATAGAGCGTTCCGATAACCAAATTGACAATGCAAAGATGAAAGCATTGCTTTTCCGGATCCTCTTGCGCCACTTTCTCTTCTTCTTTTTCTATCTGCGTCGAACCGGAAGGAGAGGCACGTTGCAGAACTGGTCCACATGATTGATTGCACGTTATGATATACCTAGGTACATACACCCTAACGGTTGGTTTGCGTGCATTACGAAAAAAACTCTTTTTCGCCAAAGAAGACCACACACCTTTCGCATGAGTTCTTCTGCCTCGTCGTTTTGGCTTATCATGATGTGGCTCACGCACAAGTTTGCCAGGACAATCGCAGGAACCTCTAGGATGCTCTCTGCTTGCTTCTTCACGATAGGCTGGTAGTATCGAATGGCCTCCTGCATGAGGTTTGAAAGGTATCGAAGGGGAAGGAACAGGGACGATGTTCTCGGATCTCAACGAATACAAATATTGATCCTCTGACCCACAAATAGTTCAAGTTATGTACGCTAATACAAGAGGCAGCTCTGTACCTTAAATTTTTCCTCCATGAAGAAGACGTGGGCGGCGTTCAATTTCCAAGTATCGTGATCTGAACAGAACTCCGCAGCCTGCCTGAACAGCTTCTCGACAATGGGATAGTTCTCTCTATCCCAGTAGATCCTCGCCATCGCCATCAAAACAGGGATGTAACGCTCAAGAGCTGCATCGTACATCTGCCACTCGTAGGTCCACGACACATCGGGCAGTGCGATTGATTTTGTCAAATATTGATGAATGAAAATGTGCTAACTTCTAGCATAGGGTTACATTACAAGCTCCTCTAGAGCACGCGTCTCGCCAACATCTCGACAATGCTATTTATTGCTTCGCTCGGAACACGATGGGGGCAGGCAGAACCATTCCAAGTTCTCTTCCACGCACCCTTCTCAATTGTGCTTGCATGTTTATCCTCTTCTATGTTTCTTAGACAAAGTAGAAGTTTCGTTCGTGCACCAGACGGCGTGTTCGAAATATCCTGCAACGCCACATACCAAAATCTTGATTGTTCACAGTGTAGCAAGCTCCACAACGATCTTAATATGCTTCTTGAAAGCTTCCACTAGGATATACGTACCTCGCCTAGCGTCTCACCTCCAGACTAGTCTTTATAGCATCATTGTCGCGGGCGATACGAGCATCCTGTATTTGCTTCGTCAATTGCCGTAGCTGGTCGATGTGCTTTGATGTCAATTCATCGTACTGCGGATGGGAGTGAGCAAAGGCAATTTGACGTTTGCGTAAGAGCTTGGGTGTCACATCGAACAAGCGCTGGTTGTACTAACTTACCAAAAGTAGCATTGCCATGCCACGTGCGGACGCCGTCCCACGGTGGAGCAAGCAGTGAAAAAGAAATACGATACTGGACGAATCGTCAGGTAGATGATCCAACACATCGCAATTCTCACCTTGCGGTACGCCTCCTCCGGACTAGTTTGCACCATGATGGCAGCATCGAGATACTCGTAAAGTTCTTCGCTCAAGAACTTATACGTGAGATGGCTTTGAATGTGATGCAAGAAACAAATACCAGCGGGCAACGTTCGAAGAGGTGATACAGTTGTCAGGCGGCTTCAAGATCTCTCCGAACTACGCTCCATTGGTAAGTTCAATGATGAGAGTGAAAACCAGTCATTCTCCATTGACTTGTTCGTGCCTCTTGACGTACATGATAGTTTCGCAGTCGGATTGGTGACATTGTCGAGTAACATCATACCTATTGTACAGCACAATGCACGCAATCCATCACCTGTTTTCAGCCAGGATGTCCGCGGCGAGTTCGTGGTAACCGTACTTACAATGCAACAGGAGCAGGTTGCCGAATGTCTCCGGTGGAAACGGCGGGTTGGACAACAGAAAATTAAGCTTGCGGAAGCCTGCTGTTGGATCGTCCTCCATGTGCAGAAGGGCCTGAGAAAAGGCACGGAAATCATCGCTGTTACGAAGAAACGGGTGTGCCATATCAGTCTCTTGTTCTCCGGGTAACATTAGCCCGGTGCACGTGCATGAGGCGGTGGGGACGAACACAATATGAAGTAATTTTCCAACTGAACGTGGAAATGTTATCTATAACACGTGCCTGATTGTGGAGAGTGACTGGGTCCAGCTCTTGTTCTCTGCGAGGTGGCATATCGCTGAGGGCCTCCACCGCCATTTCGTGGTTTTTTCTGGTTTGTTCAATGGCTGCTCGTAGGTTGAACGCCTCCACCAGACAAGTTTCCTGGTTAAATGATCGTGCGTTCGTTTCAGCCCGTTTTTACACGTTTTGTGCTTAACCGCAAAAATGGGTTGAAGTTGCAATAGGTCGTTAGCATTACAACAGTTTCGCCGCTCAAGTGCCGCCCGCTGCATACGAAGCCTCATACGACAACGAGTCAGGCTCCAAACTGATACGCCTTGGAAGGAAGATGGTGGACCTCGCAATATGGGAAAAATACAGCCTACTTCCTCTCCTTTTTCATTCAGGAATCGATCGGCTGTTTCGAAGCCCACAAGCTGCTTTCCTGTGCGCATCGGTCGTCGCTTGTTTGCACAAGAATTTGACGCACTTTCGGTGTTCCTAACAAATATGGTTGACTTCTCCTTCATGTACAAGCTGCGTTATCGCCAGCGGTGCATCTATTATTGTTCACGTCTTCGCAGATGTGCGAAAATTGGAAATGGTTTTAGGAGTCCAAGTTCTCACCTGTAGAAGCTGTGAATTGCCGACAGAACGCACATCAATCCCGTCTGTGTTGCTTCCGACAGAGAGCTCTGGGTGTTCACGTACACCTCTCTCGATGATTTCGTCTGGCCAAAGGGCACGAAGTAAATAAGAGACCATGAGCTTCCGCTGTGGACGCCGTGTACGTACATCGTAGTGGTATGCAAGCCGGGAAACACCAAATACCACAGCAACGAAGCACAGGTGCTGCTCATGATCGCAGTCAGATCCCCGAGTCTTGAACATTGAGATGTCTTTCTCATATCATGTGCAGCGCAACTCTTGGGTACTTGCTTGCTCTTGTAAAGAACAGGGGCGCTCTGAGGAAGGGTTGTAATACTGACCTACCTTATCGGAAACGACGGAACGCTGCTTCCGACCCGAAATGTAGTCGATACTTAGTTGGCCTAGAACCACGAGGGGGTACCTCAACTCACCAACATGTTTTAAAGCAGAGACATACTGCTTGTCCTTGAAGTAGCACAGCGCCGTGTTGTACGCAAGATCTGCTTGGTACCCGAGAGTATGCATAGCATCTGCGTACTTCTGCCTAGCATCTTCGTAGTCTGCCAAGTCAAAAATAGAAAGGGGAATTACCGTAAACGAAGTGAAGCCTTGCATGTTGCAATGTGTCCAAAAGATTGCAGAGTGGAGCTCCATGCATCTACAATGGCGGTTTTTATTTCTTGCGTTGCGCGCAGTCGTTTCGGTGAAAGATATCTTGCTTGCCCCTCTCTGTAAGGTTTTACACGCATACCAGCAGGTGATGCCAATCAAGCAACGAATTCCGTCCAAACTTGACTTGACACCAATGTTGATGTTTTCAGGGTTCACGCCCTCCTCTTCATTTATTTTTGTATTATTTATTTTTTCTTCACTTCAAATTAGCGCTCACAGCACTAGTGCCGTTTACTCCAACCCGTGGTCACACAGAACAGCGCCTCTCTACCTTCCCCTCCTGTGGTACTTCGCCTTCGATTTTCAATGCGAGAAGAGTTCAGCACTCTCTTCCCTCTGTAACCACACGAACTAGCGCTATCCACTAGGCCAGGAGCGGAAGCGAGGGGAAAACTCACTTCGCAAGAAAATCTCGCTTACGCCGAGATTCGAACCCCCAACCTGACTTCTAGAAGGTTTCGAGGATATCAACTAGACCACCGGGGCGACCGGTTGCCCTCTGCGTTCGATCGGACCAAAAGTTCGAACCTTCTTCTTTGAAAGAAATCGACGCATAACTGATGATGGTGTCCGGATCATCGCCCAGGCATTGGTCGACGAAACCCTTGCACGCTGCCAACTCGTCTTGCTCGTACTTGATGGCACCCTACGCGCGGAAAGTCACGGACAGAAACAATGCAAGTTTCGGATGTGCTTCGTTTATCGTGTATGAATGGAGACAATACGGATACGGCAGAGTGCCACAAGCAGAAGCAATAGAGAATCTGGAAAACCAACCACAACATCCGACCAACCCATCGCAAGCAAGGCTGATGTCATACTGTGAGGAGTGTTATATCACAAAGCACCTTTGTCGATCCCGTCCTACGCATTCACGTGCTTCGTACCAAAACGCTCAACGATCGCAGGCGAGTGAGACGCTGCGAAGAAACCAAGGCTGAGGTTATCGCGCAAGGGCAGACTGCGTGCTTCCGAAAAACAACCTAGCGGTGGGTCCGACACAAATTCCTCCCAATATCAACAGTCTTGCTCAGTGATAGCGGTAGAATATGCCCTGAGCATCTAGGTGCCATGCTCCATCCAGGACATGTCTATCTACTCGCGCGGACAAGCAAAAATATTTGAGGGGATTGCGCTTCCTCACACCTGAAGGGCGACCATCCTCTGCTGATACTGGGGGCTGTCGACTCGAACTGCTGCTCGCGTTGCCTCTGGATACATTCCAGCCTTGTACAGTGACTGGGCGAGATACACCTGCCAACATATCACCGTCATGCACTGTCGTGTTGACGCACCAATGTGCATGCCAAACAAACGTTAGTTACAGCTGCGGTGGGTTTACAGGTCTCGCTTGTGCAAGCTGAGACCCGCATTGCTCACCTTATACTCTTCAACGCTGGGGCAGATCTTCACGAGCTGTTCGTACATGGTGGTTGCTGCTTTGTAGTCTTGCATCTGGTAGTAGCAATAGCTCAACAGGGACAGTGCCGCCCGACTGCGAGGAAAATTCTGTTGGAGGAAAACGCGCGATTGAAGGAGGATTCCTGCTAGGTGAGTGGTGAATGGTGGATGGTGATTCGGTAAATTTGGCTGCGAAGTGAACCCAGGCGAGAGATAGAGGCATCTATGTTAAATACTATTAGGGTTAAATGCTCGGCACAGGTGGTACTCACTAGCAAAAGTGTTGGTTCGGCCCGTGAAAAAATCGATATATCCTCAACATAAGTCACACACCCTTGTGCCGTACACAGCAGAACAGCAAGAGAGCGAGGATGAAAGCATGAACGCCAGTGCGGCACGCCGATGCCGACAAGGATGTAGTTCCGGCTGTTCTCAATAGCATTTGGACGTTCACGAGCCACACTGCCGTCGTACGGCACGTCAACCAGCGTTGTGGTTGAGTTGTCGGTTGTTGTCATGTTTTCACACGCATGTGCATCTTTAACGTGGGTAAAGGTCGGCACCAAGCGCAAGATGACCAGTGGCCAGAGAGGTGTCCTCTGCTTGACAAAAAGGGAAATCGTGGACATAAAGTGCCTGCCAGACAGGGGATGTCCAAGAAATGTAGACGAGGTTAAGCGGGCTGATGCTGCGTACTTGAACGCTCCGGTGTAATGTCTAGCTGCAGTGTGTATTACAATTTTTCCGGATTCCAACGGGATGCAAGAACCTCGTGAGGACAACAGTCTAACTTATTATGGTTTCCGGCTCGCAGGTCGTCTACTTTAGATAGCGTTGAGGCGGCCAGCTCTGACGGTCTTCGACACTACTTGGTCATATTTCACAGCCCTCGCGTGGTATTCATGTAGACTAATCGTGGTGGAGGCGATCATGAATTCCTGTAAACCATACAGAAAGGTTTCAACAAAACTGGTCCAAGAGCAAGGTGGGCATAACAGAATCGCGCAACAGCGAGGAAACCACCGCAGACGAAGCATTCCCTCTGAGCAATGGCAAAACCGATAATCGTCAGCTACCTGTACGGAAAAAAAGTACTTAGTTCGTTACATCAGGGCCATCAGACCAACGGAGCATAGCTGGGAAGAAAACCTGATTGTTGGAAGACGTCAATCGAGGCCTTCCACCTGGGCTGCAAGTCTACACAACGGACGATTGATTTTTTATTATGGCAAAATAGGATTTACGGGGAGCCTCCTCACAGCGGCCGCTTTACTGTAGAGACGGGCCGTTGTTCGTTAACAACTCCGGCTAAGCCTAACCCTCAAAAGCAACCTAAGGCAAGTAGTCTCTACAGCCCGGTACCATCTAAAGTTTTAGCGGAATCGTTCTTGAAAGCGTATGGAGCCCTGATGATCCATTTTGGGAGGATCTCCCAGGGTATCCCAAAATGGAGGTAGCGTGCTTCACCGGAACGAACCTTGTCGTAGCGCTCCAACATTACGCCGACCCCTCAATGCGAACTAGTAATTTCGCAACGTCTCGAACGAGTTCGTCAACTCCTTCGAAGGGATATAGCAGTGTGAAGTTTGGTGCTAAGAGCTGCGAGGCGGGCTTGGAACCAACAGCTCTTCACTTTTCATAGCACGTCATTTGGCAGGTTCAGAGCGAATCTAGGGCCTACGAAATGTCTGTGCGTGTAGAGCATTACATGCTTGAGGTTCCCTGCTGGTTTCATAGCTTGTAGCCATCTGTGTGGGGAGTGCCAGCGGTGACAACGCTGTTGGCCAAATTGCATCACAGGGTAACATATCAGGGGGGCGCAGGTGGGGTACCATGGAGTTGTACGGAGCCCGTTTGTGAGTTCGTTGTTTGCTATTGTGGGATCTGCAACCCGGGTGTTCTCTCAACAGAGGCAAACGTTTCTAAACCTTTTGTAAAATATTCCAAAATGGTGTATTCCCTCTCAAAAGATTGTACCCGTTCCTTTTAGCTTCCTAACAGCTACCCAATGAAAAGATGCCAGTCAACGGTGGGACATCTAGACGCAGACAAGCGTGCTTCCTAGTCAGCGGATTCCCTCGACTCCCGGCATGAGATTGGGCGACCACATGTGTTTCTTTAACTAGAATCGACCGTGTTGATCGACCGATCAAAAAATAAAAGTCCATCTACAGTAGCTGGACAGCAATATGAAAAAACTCGATCACATTTACTATATGTCTCCTGGACGTCCATTGTTGGAACCACTGCACTCCATTTATGTATTCTTTATCAATGTGCACGCACCAGCAGAGGTTACACAGGACGAAAGCGGAGCAGGTATTTTTTTATGCCCGCCTTCGGTCGGCGATGCTTGCCTTTCGTTTTAACGCGAAAAGAAGTCGAAGTCAGCCGTCCCTTCCTTTGCGTGTGGTCGACCGTTGAACCGATTTGTGTGTGCACGAATCGTGATTATGTAGGAGCTGTTTCTCACTTTTGTTTGGAAATGATGTGGTGGGAGAAAATAATGCATGTCTTGTGAATAAGCCGAGATTTGCAATCCAAACATCAGAAGTTTCAAGGTCACCGACTTCACTGCTGAGGCGACCTTGCATGGTGGTCTTGATCACTTTTTGGTACAGGTATGATGCACACATACATGCAGATTGTGTGTTTCTGTCTGGGAACGGTTCCAACAGAGTAGTCGGGGACACCATCTAGCACCAACTTGCGCTTTGCACGCTCAGAACCTCTGCTCACCGTGGGTCACGTCGATGACCGATCTTAATGTACGCATGAGGTCATAAAAATTGTATGTGTTGTATCAGTGTACAAGACATGTATTTGATCGGCCGGCGGGTACAAGACTCCAAAACTACGGGTGAAAAGCAATGGCTCCCACCACTAGCCCCATTGAATGGCACGCGGTTGAGAGAGCCACGACCCGTAGGGTCGGGTATACGTACGCGTATGCGCCACGATATAACGTTTGGATCTCATCGAGCCTCTCTGCATGGATCCTGCCTTCCGATCTCATCGCAACAGCAGATCTGACCATTTACCAATGCGCAGTCGTCACTGGATGTTGTGAGCTGCATTCAACCCATAACTGTGCTCCTTCAGATCCGGACGCTTCTCAAACAGAAAGCGAAGGTCGCTCTCAGTGGAACGTCTGAGCAAATAGCCGTGCGCGACAAGGCACGACGGACGTGTATGTATTTTCGCTTGAGAGGAACAATCTCCACCTACCCCTAGCTCCGATGTCAGGACGCGAATAGCTTCAGGATAGCGAGCATCCTTAATTGCAGTATACACCGCCGACGTGTATTGACCATCGGGTATGTCCATAAGTCCTCCGTGTCAACAGTAGCGGCACACAAGATCGGCTGGCTGTTTGACCTCCCATCCGCTTGTGCGTATGTAGATCCTCTACAGATGTGAGCACATCGTAGATCCTGAAGATCGTGCACACCCCGCCAGAATTCGCTGTGCCCCCCGCTCATCGTCTCCGGAGATCGCGATCGAAGGAAGGCCGCACCACTGCTGTCTGCACAAACACGCTGGGGGGAAGCTCCATGGTCGAGCCGAGGGTAGTCGCGAAGCATAGGCTTCTGGTACAAGAAGATGGAAAGAAGCAGGTTCACATCTGCGACGTGCACAGCTGGAACGATTCCGATGAAGTAGAACACGGTGTGAGCGGCAAACTCGAAGTCCAGACACGTCGCTTCACCCCGAGCAAGACAATCAAGCACTACCCAAAGTTCAGGCTGACGCTCTCTTCCAAGGCGGATTCTTCTGGCCTGATAGCGCCGTTCTTGAACCGGCTACGGAGCACTAGACAGGTGCGCTGGGTATTTGAAAAACATCTCCGGCTCTCCAATCGCTGAGTGTACTGTTGGTGCATGCATACTTGCGATAACGGGATATTGTTGTGGATCTCGTGGGCGTCGCACAACGAGGACGTTCTATAGCGGTATGTCTTGTTTTCTTTGGCATATTTTCGCGTGTGCGAGTGTAATGCAAATAGCGGTACTGCGGTACAACCGTAGGTACAGCTGAAAATACCCAACGCGAATTGAGAAACACTTTCGCACGGGCCGATCGCCCTACACTCTGCTCTACTGACAGGTACACGGTATGTAGACGGGAGGGACGACCGGCTCTCCTGCTTTTACATGCAGAGTGTTTACATGGTAGATGGGAAAGAAGCTCCTTCTGACGCTGGCTCTATTCTCACACTTATCCAATATACTAGGGTGGGGTAATGAACGGCTGGGTAACCGACTCAAAGGCCTTGCAGTAGTCTGCAATACTTTTCGCGGTGGCGAGTGGCAGCCAATTTGAATTGTGAATCGGAGTCATCAACATCGACACGATAAAGAAGCGTCCTCCTTCCTCATCTGCAACGAACGGCCGTTGGGGTTCGTGCGCATGTGCGCATACAGCAGTACGTGCCGTAGGTGACACAAGCTATAATAATACCACACCCTGGACATATTTTCAAAGCTCGGGTGCTCCACACACCACAAAGAGTGGCGGTGCCGAAAATGGTGGTGTAGGAATCGTCTCGTCGAGAGCTTTCCCACAACGTCTCGCTGGGTTTACGCATCCTCTTTGTTGTGGAAACTCGGGCTTTAAGAAAAATCGACACAGGGGGTGTGGTATCTTATGTCCCCAACGGTAGACCTGTGTGCACCACTACTGCTGTAAACGTCGTACGTGACGAACATATTCCACATCGATTTGGTGTTTCGGTGGTTTCTCTACATAGAGGGGTGACGCACTAAATAGCAAGTGCACAGCTTTTTACCCGAGCAGCGTGTATGCCATGTCTTGTGTGGCGGCTGACAGAGGCCACGGGTCCATAGGACCCGCGGAAGTGGGGGTCGGCGACAGTCGGCAGTGCATGCCTGCGAGAAAAAGCACCTCGTCAAAAAAGAGGCTCTTCTTGAGTGTTTTACTCCCGTAGTACCGGCACAACTTTTTGTTTCAAGGTAATCCCACCCCGCACATCGACGCAACAGCAATAACAAAGGTACCGCCACGAGCTGTGTCCATGGTTCGTCTTGTGTTGTGATTGATACAGACCAGGAGGATCTAGGAAGCTCAGAAATTTCGAGCCCGAGAGTCTGGGACGACCCGTTAAAGGCGTTTTTTCCCCAGGCCAAGGTTGGGTTTACTAAATGACGTGTTTGCGCAAAACAAAATTTGTCCCGTATCGACCAGTACGGGGTATTTGAAGTTCCTCTGAAGCGCGTTTTGACTAAATATGCCGCAAGATTTGGCCATGTAAAAAAATTTGCAAGCAAAACTTGCAAGGGTAGCGAACAGACAACGACCACCTCGAACGGATATCCCGAGCATCTGTATCCCCCGCACAGCCGCACTTACATCCAGGCCAGCTATCGAAAACGGCAGAAGCCGAGCCTATACGACCTGCACCGTGGGTATAGTCATGCGCCATGTGCTCCTAAATAGATAGCGGGTTGTGTGGTTGCATGGGTCCAAGCATACCAGCTGCTCGTTGAGAGATCGACAAAGCGTAGATTATGCAGCTTGCTGCACACACACGACCCATATCACAAACATACATGCACATAAATGCCGACCTCACACAGCCAGGAGCTGGCGGTCGCATGGCTCACGCCCTTGGACAAGCAGATCGAGAGAAACCTCTGAGGGCTTGAGGGTCTACTACTTCTGTGCGTTTTCACAGGACGCGGTTGCCCCGGATCGGTTCAGGTTTTGCTTACTGCGCCTCTGCTGTCGGCCTGCATTTGTTGCTTCTTGCTTGCCACATAAGGCACGCAACTTGCGTGGTTCTGTATCATGATGGTAAGACTGCTTCCTCCGTGTTGGGGAAGTTCGGCAGGCTTGAGATCATTGGCCGTGGCGGGTTTTCATGTGCGCTTGCTGCACCTATCTGCCCTGCTATGTCTACGCTGTACTGGTTGATGCTATGTGGCGGGCAGTGTGCTCTTCGTGCTCGATACGATATACAGCACAACATTCGATGCCTCTTATCGATGTGCATGTCCGCGTCCGTCCGCAATGTTATTTTCTACCTGCTCACGGTGGAAAGCCTTCATATTTTTGTAAAATTGACCAGCATCAAAAGAGCAAAATGTGTTTATTGCGCAACCGTCAATGATCCCTCTCCACAACCTAAGCAATAGCAATGACAATGGCATCCGCCACTAGCTCTGTGTGTGGCTCCTTTCCCCCGCCAGTGCTGTCTTGCCAATCCCGGCGGTGTTGCGTGTTTCGCTGAGTGCTTCCGCTGCCTCTCCCGTGGTGTGAACCAAGCAGTGGGTGGGTGGGAGATCTCCGAGTTTTTGTTCCTCCAATACCTTGGCAACTCCAGGGGTTCGGGGTGAGTACAAAATGACGGTGAAGCACGGCCACCTGCTGTCGGAGCGCGACCAAACCGGCGTGGTGAAGAGTGCCCTATTTTTCTTCTTCCTCACAAGCCAGCAGATCGTCAATCGGTGCTCTACAGACGTCTTTCTGGTCAAAAAGAAGGGCATATTCAGGCGGTCGCGTATTGAAACTTAGGCCCCTGGTAGATAGAGCCTGTTTTTCCCTCTTGAGAGGGGAGAACGGTCGCCTTTCGCGCTCCGCGGCTCATAACAAAAATAATGCAACCTTTCCACAGTTTAGATCTTACGCACTCTACTATTATCAGCAGAGGACAACATGAAGAAGGCGTCTTGTGTGCTAGCATGTTCAGGTTTGCTACTGGAGCTGAAATATCGAAGTCCCAGCTGTCTCTGAAAACAGTCCGTAATCTGCGTCGCAATCCAACATTTCTCACAGCCGTGTTCATCGCCACGGACCGTCAACCCCTGAAGGGCGGGTCGTCAGCTGTAGCTAGTTCACCCATTTCAAACTCGAGCTTCCTGGTGATAGGGATCCATATCTCCAGGATTACCTGAAGATCGAGTTTGAATTGTCACAAAAATAATCCCGGACTATTCGCAAAACGAACCACATGGATCTTCCTTCCAGATAAAATCATGGGAGGGCAATTCAGCCCCCGATGGTGATTTCATGAAAAGGATCTTCACGACTGCTGTGCCCGCTCTCTCAACTGGAGCGCCCACGGTGTTTGCAGCCACTCTGTGTGCGTGTTCATATATGGCATGTATGTTGACGGGTATTTTCTGGTACGCGGGTGTGTGCGCAGCTTCTTCAGCTTCTGAAATTCCGAGGCACGCGGCAGGACACGTCATAACTTCTGGTGCGTGGGGCTCACCAAAAATTGAGGACCCGTGGTTTGCAACCCGCTCGGATACTTGGCTCTATCCCGATGAGATCACGAGGACACTTAAACAGTCAAATGTCACCAGAAGGCCAGGAAGCTCGACTTGTAAATGGGTCAAGTGGCATAACCTACTGCAGGAAACCAGCAGTTAAGGAGATTGGGGTTAGTGGCGGCGAGCACAATCAGTGCGAGACACTAGGTGTCGGTGTAATTTGCGGATATTGTAGGCCGCTTCTATCATACGACCCTTCATATCACCACCCAAGAAGCAGATTTGAGCGCGCCAACACCCCCCCGCTGTTGTAGGGTGTCCTCTACATGTAGTGAAGTCAGTAGAATGCATATAACAGGCAAAACCGACGTCATTTGAGCGCCTGCCATTCTGGCTCTGACTTGATTTCAAAGGAGGCTTGTGGAGGTAGACTGTATCATATGTATTTTTAGAGCAGCCTCTACTGCCTCTCTGTGCGAGAATCAATGATTTCTGATTTTCCTGAAGCCTTCCAACTGGTCTTGTTTGTGTTGTTTCTGGTGCTCTTGTGTTGTTTTTCAAAGCAATTAACTCCACAAACTACATAGGTTGTTTTCCATCCGTTAAGCACGAGGTACTGCTGAGGATCCGATCTCTGACAAAATCAGTGTCTGCTCTGGTTTTCCCCTTGCATATTGCATATATCCCAAAATGCAGGCTGCCGTGGTGGTACTGAACAAGCGCGGATGGGTGGGTTATCTGCTTCCCCATGCAACGGAGTCGAAGCTGTACTGCCACTTCCACCGCCAGGAGCACATGGACGGTGAGAGATTTTCAGACGTGCCACGCACCCAATATAGCCCATCCTCCGTGCTGATTATCTGGGAATCGCTCCTTGGCGAGGGGTATGACTTCACGTCCGGACTCATTGCATCTTTCTGCCACATGCGCCTGCGCTCACCTCCGCCTTCGTCCCCCAGCTGCACGCCAGCAGATCCGCTCGCGGCAACCTGCTAGAATGCCAATGTTGGCTCCTATCGAGCGCGGGCCTTGGGCCTCACGGAAACCATTGACGAGTCGGGAGTTTGGAGCGAGGCTCGACGGACCAGACTACGATCCAGGTGCATGGCGTGGGTGTTTGCATCGCGTGTAGCGCCGCTTTGTGGTTGACGCGGCATGTGGCGAGAGGTGTGGTTCGTAGACATATTCCATGGTGTCACGCGTGAGATGTTACTTGTTTTGTTTTCCGTATTGATGCACGAGAATGACCCACATAACGACACTCATTTCTGGCCAACAGCAACCAGTTCTTGTGCAGATGTTGGCGTTCGTGCCATGACGGCGAAGTGGGCAAATCTGATGTTCTTGCGAATGCACTTTATATCTTCGTGAGCAGCCCTGATTTACACCATGGACGAGCTGGACCCATATCGAGATATGCCAGCACCATCAAAGGAAGAATCGCAACAGTTACCGTCACTCGATGATACGGAGCACTCCGTCGACAGGCTTGGCATGAATGGCGACTTCCGAGAGCAACACTATGACGTTCCACCTGTTGGTGTGGATAACGGACTGGGGCAAGGAGGACAACATGTGGGGCACCGAGAACGCGGGCCTCTATCCGCGCAGGTATTTTCACCTGCAATCCACTATATACGCAGCTCTCGCGTTGGACTTGTGTCAATGTCTCAAGACCAAGACCGACCGCGCTCGCGCTAGCAGTAACTTTTGTTCTCGGCAAGTACAGCTTTGTCCCACCAGTGCGTGCTGGTTTTCGGGGCGGCAGCCCACCAACCAGCCATACTTCTTGCTTCAGTGCATTCTTTCAGAACACTGACTCTTTTGGGACTACACAGCTGTGAAAGACGACCTCTGAGCACAGCAGTGCTTCATTATTCCTCTCGTGGCAAAGAGGTGCATGCCACGATTGCCCAGCATCCGGAGCTCTCCTTCATGATCCGTATTTTTTTCAGGCAGAAGCAGCAGCAAAGTACAGCGAGGAGCTACGGACTGAGGGTCAGCAAGCTTCGAGTTTTATCTACCACCTTAAGAGGTTCAACAATTGGGTCAAAGCCACGGTACGCAGAGTAGAAACTCCATCAACTAGAGTCCCGGCAGATATCTCAGAGACATGTGCTGGGTCAGGCCCATATCTGTTCCTCAGCGTTCCATTTGATTCAGTTCGATTTTAATCAGTAACATGTGTCACACTGGAACATCTCCCATATTGATTATTGTGCGAACCCATGGTACACCACCTTTAACCTCTGCAGCTAATATCCAAGGCCAGCAAAGACGCCTCCCATGCTGGTCTGCGCGTGCTAGACTTGGCGTGCGGAAAAGGCGGAGACTTGTTCAAATGGGCTACCCACCCTGACGGAGTGGAGAAGTACGTTGGATCGGACATCGCCTTCGGGTCGTTACAGCACCTGGTCGAGCGTATGGCGAGTAAGTCTTCGTCAATAGCATCAATCCCAGCGCTCAGTTTTTAGATGCACACGATTTGCATGCTTGTTTCAGCCGCACTCATCAGATGTACGTGTAACACGTTGCCACCGTTTTTTGGCAGAGTCGGCGGATAGAGGTGGCAGGGGCAACTGGAGCAAGGTTCCAGTGAAGCTTTTTGAGGCGGACCTCGGCAGAAATGATGTGCAGGTCGGCATTGCTACAGGCGTTCATCGTTTCGTAGGGTAGGGCGCTGGACCAGCAGCGTAACTTCCTTCGAATTGTAGAATTCCAACGAGGAGCTTGCAGTCCATCCGGACTTTGCATACAATCCATTTGGCCGCCTCGTTCTCGATAGAATCCCATCCCGTTGAGCCTACACACACACCCCGGAGATGAGGGAGACCGTGAGTACGATTAACAAGCCTGATAAAAGAGGCATACTCGATCCCGTCGGCGACAATCAAGGTACGAAGCTCGCAACGGTCCTTATTTTGCTTGTAGATGGTGCTTTGGTTACCGGCCGGCGCTCGTCTTGTCACCAACTGGCCTAGTTTTAAAACCAGCAGCACACCCATCCGCAGTCCAAGAATTTTTACTTACGACGTGCCCAAAGAGTCCTTACTACCAGAAATGACGGCACACCCAATGTGGCGGCACCATTCTGAGCTTGGAGCATCAGACGGATGGAGTTTGAAGTTTTGATGTGCGCAACATTCCTCGTCCACCCAATCCAAAGTAAACCCTCACATGAAATCGAACCCTCCCTTCAGTCCGTCCTTCAAACATGGTCCAATCCAACTCACGTCTTACTTGATTGAACCCAACTTGCATGGAAAGGTGGTTCCGGTGAGGTGGCTCCAGCTGGGCCCTGCGGCTCGTCGCTTGCTAGCGCACTATCGTCAGACTTAATCCTGGTGTGTCGAGTAGATTTGGTCGGGAAGCCCGCCACCATCTTCCTGCGAGTCTTCTCGATCGCCTTGTCGGTTCGCGCATACAGAAACATTAAACAGTCAACCTTACATGTCGTGTTCGGGAATGAAGCTCCTTTGTCGATCGGGTTGTGTTTTGCTGCTGCGCTGGATGCTCTCTTTCGCTTGTGTGCGCATTTGCACCGTGATATACCTGAACGCCATATGTCGCTTGCTCAGCGCGACAGGGTAAGAGTCTGGGAAAAAACAGAGGGGCAACCTGGCGAGTGGGGCCTTCGCGTTCCGCTGAATGAAGGTATTTGTCGGTCAGCTGTTGTGGGGCGCAACCCATGTAAGTAGTGACAAGCGCTCTCTCGAATGCACGTGGAGTCACTACATCGTCCCAATGAGATGTAGCCATGACACAGGAGGCGCGCTGTGCGGAGATCATGCGATACCTGGCATTCTGCATCGATCCGCCTATTGCAGGTGACTTGTTTGACGTGGCGTCAATGCAGTTTGCTTTGCACTACATGGGCCAGACAGAAGGGCGAATGCGACGGTTCCTGCACGAAGTCTCGAGACACCTTCGGGTTGGGGGGATTTTTATCGCAACTACGATGGACTCGCGCGTATTGATGCAGCTGCTTATGGGCCACGCGGAGCAATCCTGGGTAAGTGAAATAGTTGCTCGAATTTCCATCCTTTCTGTGCGATGTTCACACATCGTGGATTGCGTCTGTTTGTTCATGAGAGCTCAACCTAGAGCGTGCGATAACTCACGATACCCATGCCCTACAACAGTTGGAGATCAACGCTATAGTGCATGGTTGTAGTTGCGTTTCTCTTTGGTCAACAGTCAATACTAAGACTCCGCTGACACACTCATAATCCTTTTGGTGGCGCAGGACTCTTCGCTCGGACGGACAACCCGCAAGGTGGAAATCGATGATGAAAGACAACAAAACTTGCTCAGCATCGTGGTGAGAGTTTTCTCGAAAATCAAGCTGCAAAACGATCCTGCGTTCGCGTTGGTTGTACCTTTTCAACTCAACAGCCGCGCAACTGTTTGGATTTCGAGCGCCCCGCCCTTGTTTAGTTCTGGTTACCCAGGCAGATACATGAGGCTTCCTTCTCTCGCCTGTTTGCTTGTCCCTACCCACACTTCTGCCAGTTTAAGGACCCATTCGAGTCATATCTGCGTCATTCCTCTGAAGACGGCGATGCTACCGGTCCCTTCGGACTGGAGTACACGTTCACATTGAGAGAAACTGAACTCAACAAGAACGCTGTGGACGAGGTGCCGGAATGGATGCTCCCGTTAGATGCGCTGAAGGTGGGTTGGCTATCGCAACGAGTGTTCACGGAAGATGTCGTCAACTGCGTACATTTTCTTCCGTATGGGTTGTGAGGTACAGTAACTTTTCGTACAAGGCAACATGGAAAGCTCCAATACATCCGGTATACTTGGTCTACAATATCAAACGCAGCAACGATCGATCGCTGTGAGTCAACCGCCTGGCGAGTTGAGCGGGAACAGGTGCAATATTGATATTCAGATAGTAAGGGCACGACGCATTACGGGGAGATGGCATGATCTAGGGACCCCGTTGTCCGATAGCGCAACATGTTCTGGCCCAAAGAATACGGAGCGCAAGTTTCGTCTGTTGGTTAGACTACCCCACCGATGGCGCGAAAGGTCAACAGGTGTTGTTCGGGATACCCGCACGACACCCACAACGCCACTCCCAACATACCGTGAAAGTGCGGGCGAATGCACTGCTGATGTGCGATCGATTTTTTCAAGTGCTCTACAACCAAGAACCCTAGAGGAACCCGACATGTGCAAGGAAAAGCCACAACGATTGTTTTTTGTGGAGCAATCAATCCATTTCATGCGCAGCATCTATCCACAGCCATGCAGACCACCGGTCGCCCCGGTGGTCTAGTGGTATCCTCGTAATCCGCTAGTCGCAGAGGTCGTGAGGTCGAATTCCCATGGGGTGAAAAAATTACGAAATGTGCGGGTGAAAGCGAAATATAGCTGACAAGCTCTCGTGAGTACCAAACTTCGACGTTAGCACCGTTGACGAGGGGAAGGGACGGCTGGACCCTTCTCGCGATAAAAATAAAACTCAGCACGCACCGCAGGAGGAAGGTAGGGCATGAAAAGAAATAAAAAGAAGAAAAAGCCCTGGTGTTTACCCCCTCCTGTGTGATCCTGGATGGTTGTAGTTGTACGATAAAATACACTGAAAAGTGTAGTTCTCTACATAGGCTGAAAAGTGTAGTACACGTCTCATCACGAAAAATTGGGGACTGTCACCATAATAAATAGGACGAAAATACACACACACAGAGACGGCGCAAACACCGCTTGCATTCAGAAACGATGTGCCCGTATAATCTCAGCGAAGCAGCTCAACACTGTGATGTATCTGGGGGGGACGCTAGATCTGTTACCGTAGACACGGTTTCCCACAGCCTGAGAACCCGGTCCAGTTTTCGGTAATGCAACATATTGTATTCGCTTTTGGCAATGCCCCTTGAGATGACTTGTTTGCAGTTCTCTCAAGTCGTCGCCTGTCAACATGCCCAACGACGAACGGCGTTTGGTTGTTGTTCTTTTCAGCGTTACCCTTCCGTGTTAAAGTGCTTAGCCACCCACATTCTAACATTGATTTTCGATGTGTTGCGGTCGCCACCAGGATGCAGCCGCTGACTACGGACTCGAGATGGAGACGGCACAGAATTTCCACGAATTCTTTGCTCACGAGTAAGTCGCGTATGGGTTTCGTGCGGAATACCCTCGGGTGTGTCACTAGATGCCGGCGGGGTGGCTGAAGATCGACCACATTTTTATGTTAGGTTTGGGTGTACCGCGTGTCGGCCCTCCTCCCTCGGTGAAGTGTGCCTACAGGGCAACAGGAACATCACCCAGCTAAAGATGTGCCGAAACTTACGCTGTCGCGTCCCTACCAATCTTATTTGCAGGTCGCAAGTATACCCAGCTCGCCTTAATCTCCGCAACATGCACGTGTTCAATCCTCGGGGCACCATGAACAATACGGAGTGGCGCATAGCAGGTGATTGCCAACTTCAAAAGTGGTAACTTGGTGTGCATAGATGAGGCGCTTGATGGTTTCGCTTTTACCGCCAAAGTTTACTGCCAACGCCGCAGCTCAATTGGAACGTATTGTTGCAAGGGTTGCACCCTCACCGACACATGGATATCTAACGTACTTCCCCGTTGGTCGCGTTTGCCAATTGTCTGCCCATGGAATAGGAATTTATATGGCGCTTGTATTTCGCAAGACATCAACGGACATGCAGTCAGGTGAGTCATGCCGCGCCGTTTGCCACGTGGGTGTGACGGCGACGTCAGCCTTCTTGAGTGTAACCATACAGCAAGCAATCAAAATAAAGTAAATAGAGCGGATTACCTCGCTCTGGCTCCAGCGCTACACATTTACATGTAGCTTTAATGTATTCTAGCCCTACGTAGACAACTGGCGCGTGTGCCCCTTACGTACATCGCAATGAGGCACACAAGACACGTACTTAAGTGATCTTTCCCTCTCTCTCGTCTGAAACATGATACAGTTGGGACAACTGCCCCTTCAAGTCCTCCTTCTTCGCCACCATTCCAACATACACCCGCCTCTCCACCAGCACCTCCAAGCGGCTGGGAGGGCCCCCCTCCCAAGTTCCAGCCGATGTCTCCAACCCACCCCCCTCCGGATGTGCCATCGAGAAGTGGCGGCTTGGTGGACAACCGTGCAGTGCAGGGCGGATCGCCACGATCCCCCCCACCCGAAGATTCCGAGTCAGATGAGGATGATGTGTACGACCAAGCCGTGGAAAATGCGAGAAGCGCCGTGCGGTCTGAAGAATGGGAGGCTTTTTCACCAGAGAGGAAAAAGGCATGCATCCAGAAGCAGATGGATTTGCTCACGGCTAAAAGATGATTGAATGTCACCTAACGGGCTGAGATGGATCCAGAATGTCGGGCTTGTGAGTCTTCCTTGTTGATCTTCGGCCAGCGGGTGTCACTGAAAAAGGACAAACGAGTCGAGTGAGGTTTCAGAAGATGCGATGCGTCAAAGCTGCCCGATGGCAAGTTGTGTGATCCATTGAGGACAGCTAGGGGTGGTTACGTCGTGTGTCATTCTTCAAGGAACAGCAACAAAATGACAAGAGGGGCGGAGAGTTTCCTGGGTGTGAAGCACTCTCCTTCGATTGGGTACCCACCCACACGACGCGTTTTCTCAGATGCGTTCTTGTTAAATGGCAGGTTCAAAACAAGGTGTCGGAACTCAATTTTACGCACGTGCAAGAGTTTCGCTTTGATGCTGCGTGAGTCTACAAATGCCATTTTTGTGTTGCGTGCCCCTAGACCTGCGACAACGCAACTCGCGTGTTTATCGGCTGAGGACGTGGTGTTCGAGTTTCAAGTCGAGCTTTGATATTGATTGTGGTAGAAATAACGACGAGGAAATATACACAAAACAGAACCAACCCGAACAACCATGCGAACATGCTGCCGGAATGCATTGGATTCCTACTAGTGCCGCAAGGACACAACTGTACTTGAGCGTTAGGCGGTTTATAGCTGCACACTCTGCAGGACACCATCCAATATTTTATTTTTCGATATATATCTACCGAGATGCAGAGGAACGTACGTGCCCGTAGTTGCGTGGTTGCCTCCCCTGTCGTTCTCGCTTGGGAGTTGCCCTCAGAGTCAAACGCAAAACGCAAACCGACTCCCCGAACATTGTTTCCGCTCGATCACACCAATAGTTCTCTTACCTTCAGTCCCCAACTTCGGTTGTTTCTTCGGGGTGCTGGGATCTGTAATAGTGTTCAAGTTACACGATCACAGGAAGGGAGGAAGTGCAGAATTGGGGCTATGACAACTCTCTCTTCCGGTAGGTATGACTCGAAATACACTGTCAAAGGCACTTTTGTAACCTACTACGCTCTTGCGGTAAAAGGAAAGATCCACGAAAGGTCCACGCAGCACCGTTGGAGCGCCCATTGAATCCAACCACAGAGGTTTGGTGTGCGTCGTGATGGAAAGCTGGTTAATGTTGTGAATTAAGCAAATCAGAACTCCAAAGGATGCATCACGAACACGAAACCCGTATTCTCCAGTTTGCACGAGGTGACTGCTTGCGTATACACGAAGGAAGGGCACATGTGGATATATCCGAATGGTGGTATCAAGGAAGGCACCGCCATGGTAACCGTTTCGAGCGCAATTTGTGCTCAAGGTACAGCAGTAACGTCACCGCCCTGTAGGGAACGCCAAGTGGGCTCCTCTGCCGGCAAACGCTCAACATCCTCAAACCAAAAGGCTCATGCATCCATCACAACAATCAAGTCATTTGATTCAGTGAACGTATGCCGTGCTGGTTTAAAGTCAAATCTCACCAACTGGTGAGGGCGGCTTCTTCCCGTCCATTAACCAAGAAAGTCCGATGATAGCAAGGAAGGCAGCGATCGACATCTGCAAAGCAACATCACACGGTTCAACGTATTCGGAGCAAGCTTGAGTCAAGAATCGTGAAGAATACACAGCAGTACACTGATGTCCTTTGACAATTGTCTCTTATCACAATTGCGCGAGCTCCTTGCCTCTGCTGACGGCCAGTTCGCGATTATTATGCGTGCACATAGCAACACAAGAAGTTTCCTAGTAATAGAAGACGGCGCGTTGAAGCATGCAACATGCCAAAAACGCTGAGCTCCATGCATAACTACAAGCTGGACGAGGACACTGCCGAGATAAATAGGGAACAAACCCTTCGTTTGAAGAATGAACCAACTCGCCGTTTCGGGTCAACTTGGCTAGCCTGTGTAGCAGTTGTTCGCACACACGCCTGTTCGCCGCCGTGGAACCACAACTCTTTGCTCTGTTTACGTGTTACCAGCGCGAGTGCTTCCGCCTTACGTCGGTAGCAGTCCATCTATTTAGCTACAGCAGTGTATGTTCCAGGTGCAGGAAGAAAAATAGATACAACGGGGTAACGGAAACTCGCGAGATGTAACCCTTTACCTCCGGCACGCCCACGGGTCTGTAATACTACCGGTAACTACAACTGCCCTCATGCAAGTAGAAGGGAAGCTCCCGAACAAAGAGACACTCAGGTGCGCAGTGCGAGTCTGCCCGCTGTCGAGGCCGGGGCGAATGTGATCTGCTTCGCCAAAAACATCAAACGGTTGCCTTTCTCCGGGAAGACAAAATAGAGGCGGACGAAGCAGCGCAACAGCAGTCACATCGTTTTCATTTTCGTTCTCGCGTTCACGCTTTGTAAACCATTCCAAACCAGACCACGACTCAGGAAGCGTTCCAAGAGAGTGTGTCAGCGGCCGTCAGACTCACCATAACGACCATGGGGACATGTACACCGTCGTCCTTCACAAGTGCTTCCAGCTTGTTCATGGTAGGTTCTGCGTTTGCGAACACTGAAGCTGTTGAGCGCACTTCCTCTGCGGTGGACGGTTCCATCAGAACTACACAAAGATACCCTTCTGCAGATCTTCAGGCAGTTGAGGAGTCGTAGTAAGGAAAGAGAGGGAAAGAAAGAGACAGGCGAGGTTGGTGGTCGGGTGTAGGCAGGTGAAGAGTTTCGCGCTCGCTGTGCACGCAGAGACACTTGAAGTTTCAAACGAGGGGTTACGCGAGCAAGATAACGGAGTACCCCTCCACAATGGAACGGAAAACTTGAGACGTAGCGTACGCATGACTACGGTAGGGGGCCCTCTATAGTGCCGGTATGTGTTCAGAGAGCAAAGCGGCACTATACCGGGCACCGGCACTATTCAGAGTACAGAAAGACTTGATATTCCGGTGTGTGCGAGCCGAAAACACCGGCACTATAGCATCGATGGGAGTTCGCGGCGGATAAAACGGTGGAGCAATTGACGTTCAGATAAGAATTGTCAAGAGATGACAGTAACGAGACAACAGCAATACGGTAGTAATGAATATCGCCCGACCGGGGAGCGAACAAACCAAACGTGTACAACCACCACCACCAGACAAACAGGCGCTAACCAGCGGACAACTAACGCGTAGGCTACTGCTGTACATCCATCCGCTGTGTGACATGATGTACAATAATCTTCGTAGAACAAGAGGACTACGCGACAGAGAAAGAGACACCCTCGCTCCCATTTTTCCCGTTAGGATGTATTGTTCGTTTCGTAACACACCGTCATCTACGAAATCCAATCCATTCAAAGGATCAAAGGAAAGCGGACCACGGATTGGAGGCACCCTGCAAGAGCAGGACAAGTGATGAGGATAAAACAGGAATACGGTAATGAATAGCGCCCGACCGGGGAGCGAGCAAACAAACTAATCGCGTTCTGTATGCAGACGGACAGACGTGATTGCGCAGATGTATGTGCATTAGTTCTCCAGCAGTAGTCATAGAAATGACGCCAAATTATTGAGACGCATGACCCAAGTTTCCCACATAAAAAGGAAGACTTGTCGCCGAGTACGTACACGGTCGGGCGAGGGCACCGCCACGATCTTGTGAGTGTACAACCTTTCGCGAGCTGAGAGAACATTGAGGAAAAAAACGCGGACAAAATTTCTCTCATGCATAGACTAGGTTCTTCTGTGTCTGGCGCAGAAACCAATCCTACTTGTATTCGGATTGGGTCGGGACCAAGCCAAGAACACTCTTAAATCCATTTTTTGTAAACCAATTCATTCCTATTCCTCGTCAGCCGCGGGGCAACTACTGGATCTTAAATTCGCAGAAGACGCTCTTGAGTGAGCTACTGCACAAGATTTGAATCAGGAAGTAGATTTGATGTCCCACGCTGACGGGCCTGACCCCAACCGTTGCGTTTTTCTGGTAGCTCATCATGTACCCAGCAACCGGCTTCTCGAGTCGGCTTTCAACGTGTCGTTCGTTTCCTGCAACGTTTCAGGTTGCGGTCCGAGAACGAACGCCCGCCCAGCTCACAGGTCATCCGACTTCATGCCAGCAAGTATTTGCTCGAACGGCTATTTGTCCTTGTGTACGTTGCGTACGCTTCTCTCGTCTTTCTACAATTACCTGGTTCGCTCAAATCCACCAACATAAATGCGTCATCGTCACTCATCACATGATGGACTAACGACGACAAACCTCGCAGAAATCACCGGCGAAAGACCATATCTGAACCCATCATGAACCAAAATCGTTGCATACCTCTGCTCGAGTTATAGGCTGACAACAGCCAAGTGCTGCTTCCAGGGATGAGTGCCACGGCATATGCCGTTGTGTTCAGAGAAACAAGCCCAAGTGCCGTTCAAGACCCTTTCTTGGACACGAGCGCAAGCGCGCAACAACACCATCCAGGTAACCCCCGCGAAAGAGCGGACATGACGGTGTTGATAACAAGGCAGTCCAAATAGTCGCGCACCAAGCGGTGCTTTGAAATGGTATCGGACAAGATCGGGCAACATGTCAGGCAACGGGACGCTCCCTCAAGCAACTTGAACCACGCCTGCTGCCACGAGCTTGTCGATCTTCGCCCGCATGTCGGCGTTTCCGAGAGCCTTAGGGTGCATTGGCAATGGTGGGGGCAACACAAGGAGGCGTGGGGGTGAGAGTGAGGGATGCTTCGTAACGAATTGAACCACAGCGTGTGCAGTCCCCGGTCGTATAACCTCGAGAGTGAGGCAAGCATAACATCCGAAGTGCAACATCCGAGTTGGCCTTTGTTCCATCTCACAGAGGAAGACATGGAGGACAGTACAAGTGCGCTGCAACAACAGGTTCAAAATAATTACGAGCCTGAGGTATGCCTTTTCGTAAGGAAACGACGGAAATGCTCAACATGTTATGATGGGTTAAAAACAAAACTAAAAGCGTGAGGAGTTTGGGTCACTAGAAGCCAAGTTGTGCGATTTTGACGACCCAATCACGCAGCAAAGCGTCGTATCGTAGTCCAATACCTTTTGCGCCTCCTTCGGATTGTCCTTGAAATCGTTGAGGACTTGCCGAACCACCGGATCCGTGAGAATCATCTGGATCTCCGGGTCAGCCATGGCGTGCGCTGCTCTCTCGGAATCCGCTTTTCCGGAGCCCTGCAGGGCGCAAGAAACAAAAAAAGATGTAAAAAACATGTCAACAAGATTGACACACGACAAAGGATACAGAGAAAGGTTCAAGGTCCGGCCGCCAACAGCTCCCGAGTATAACGCCCATGACCTGCGCATGCATTCACAGCGCATTTGAAAATAACAGGATGCCACGGACCACCACATCAGTGCTAGATGCACACCTCATTGATTTTGACGGTCGTCTTCCGTACTCCATCGACGCAGAGTGAGTTGTTTGGCTCCACCGTCAAGCCCTGTAACCACGAAAACAGAGAGAATGGGTCTAGCATCAAGTTAAATGTACTTCCGCTCCAAAGTTGGTGACGGACGCAACGCAAGAAGAGAAAGCGATGGATTTGTTTGTTGCAACAATTTCAGGACTGAGTCCATGACCATACAATGCAACGACCA